CTTAAATACGTTCCCTCATACATGGACGAATATACTATTTTTTAGTATTTTTTAGTGAAATATTTTTTCATTTTTTAATTTTAAATCGTGTTTGGCTAAGAATTTGAAGATGTCCCCGAGGCAAAAGTTGTTTTAATTTTTCTTTTACATAACATATATTTTTTTTTCAAGGATTTTATTGTAAACTTAAAAATAAATTATATTAATTTATAGTCCTATAAACTAGTTTTCGCAGAACTTGGTTTTTACCAAATTGTTGAAAACGACTTATAGTTCTATAAATGAGTATTCACTTAAACTGTTTTTTTTTAACGTCTTTCGAGTTCGTTTTACAGTCCTTAGAGATTGTCTTCTTTGAGCTATACTTTTTTTCAATTTACTGAAAACGACTTATAATCTTATAACATGTTTTTTTATTGGAAATATTTTTCTTGCACATTTTGAGAATCACTAGACTTTTTGCCAATTTTTTTCCTCCTTTCTTGGAAAATAGTTAAAAACGATCTCTTTTATGTGTCAAAAATAAGAGTTTGACTTTCACTTTTTCATTCTATAAAAAATGTTAGGTTTTGTGGTTTTGTTAGGTTTTCACGAATTCAGTGTTATATATAAAAACAAAATGAAATGGTTTTTCTTTTTTTTTTCACAACGATTTTTTTTGCAGGGAAAAGCTGGGCAGAAAAGTTGAGAAAACTAATAGAAATATGTAGGGTTGCAGATTGTTTTGCGAGGTACAGGGCCTCGATATGCCCTACAGGGCCTATTCTCCACACAGTCTGCTGCCCTAAGTGAAGGCAGGCACAACGGAGGCCTACAGGCCATTTTAGGGTCACCAGGCAACTGGGGAAATTCAGGCAGTCTGTGTGTCCGAAAATGGATTCAACGGGGGTTTCCCGTTGAACGGTTCAACTCCTGTTGAACCCCCGTTTCAACTCCACGTTATACCGCGTTACAACGCGATTCAACTCGGCCCGCGGTGTTTTTTTTTCGTCGGCGAAAAAAGTCCCAAAAATATATATAAAATAAAATATGGGGGTGTAGATATCTTTGCGCTCCACATCTTCATTTTTTTTTTTTTTTTTAGTAAGTCTATAAATTTAAAAAAATAAAAAACCGGAATAGTGTAGTGTTAGAGAAAAAAAAAATTCGAACTGACAATCGACCTTTTTATGGCCGATTGTTAACGTTTGCTGCCCGTGGGGGAGGGGGGGGGGTGCGTGGCGACTCCGGGACCGTTTGCTGCGGTGACGAGGAAAACACGCGCGTGTGGTGCAGCAAACGACAACAATCGGCTATAAAAAGGCCGATTGTCAGTTCGAGCCAGTGAGTCACAATGCGCCGTTGTGGAGTGTGCAGTGCGCAGTGTGCTCTGTGCAACGTTGCGCGTCGTTGGTGTGGCAGTGGACGCGTAGAGGGCGGGATCTCGCGTGGCGGCAGCGTGGACGAGCGACGGTGTGGGCAGGACAAGGGGGCCGCAGACGCGATTGACGGGGTTCAACGGGGTTTCAACTCCCGTTCAACGGGGGTTCAACTCGCGTTGAACAGGGGTTCAACTCGTGTTCAACGGGGGGGCGTTGGGAGGTGCTTCAACATGGGTTGAGCGTGGGTTCGACGTGGTGAACCACGGGTGGAACAACGGGGGGCGGAACGATGGGGGTTCGATGGGGAATCGACGGGGGAGGAACGACGTTCTGGAGACGGCACGGGAGCGACGCGGCAGCGACATAGAGAGAGAGAGAGAGAGAGAGAGAGAGAGAGAGAGAGAGAGAGAGAGAGAGAGAGAGAGAGAGAGAGAGAGAGAAATGGTAT